GGCTCACCCGAGAGAGAACGAAGACTGGAGAGACTTCTGGCTCAAACCGGCCGCGGGCGGCGCGCGCGCGCCCGGCGGGCGGCGCGTCCTCCCGACCTCGAGGTCGCGCCATGGGCGCCTCGGCGGCCACTCCTCCTGCTGCTCCTGCAGCTCCTGCTGCTGCTCACGTGCTGTTCCTGCTCCTCGCCCTCCCTTCAAGCTTCGACCTCCTCTCCTTCTACTCGTCCCGTTCCTCCTCCTCCTCCTCCACCTCCTCCTCCTCCTCCTGCGGCTTGTTTCTCCGCGTCCTGCTGCTCCTGCTCGAAAAACCGTGGAGGTCACGTTGAGGGCGCCGTGTTGCGACCCCGCGACCGGCGGCCGCAGCCCGTGTTGCGGCCCCGCTTTGTGGCCCGCGACACCGACGACGACGACGGCAACGACGACGACGCCGACGGCGACGACGCCGATAGCGTCGACGACGGCGACGGCAATGACGACAAAGAAGACGACGCCGGCTACCGTCGCTTCGGACCGCTTCGAAACTTCACAGGGCGTTGCTGGAGCTTCCCGTCGCCACGACTGGACGCAGCGAAGAAAACTACCCCAGACGGAGGAGGAGGAGGAGGGGGAGGAGGAGGAGGAGGAGGAGACGGAGGCGGAGGAGGAGGAGGAGGAGGAGCTGGAGGAGCTGGAGAAGGAGGAGGAGGAGGAGGATGAGGAAGAACATGAGGAGGAGGAGGAGGAGGAGCTGGAGGAGGAGGAGGAGGAGGTGGACGAGGAAGAGGAAGCACAGGACCAGGAGGAGAAACAGGAAGAGGAATAGGAGGAACCGGAGGAGGAGGAGGAGGAGGAGGAACAGGTGGAGGAACCCGGTTCGGCGCCGATTCGTTCTATCTCCGTTCCCCCTTTGCTGCCAAACGAAAGCGAAGCGAACAAAACGGCCCGCAAAATCGCCCAAAACCGTTCAGCCCGAGCTCTGACGAGACTGATGTTCATGAGTGGATTGGCGCAGGATGCGTTCCAAGATTTCCGGAGTATCTGGCAACCCCCGCTTCTGCAACCAGTGTGGCACTTTCGGAATACCTGGGGACCCGTTTCTGCACCCAGTGCGGGACCTTCGAAGACCTGGGGACAGCCCTGCGAATCCTGAGACGCATCATTACCATGAGCTCTCGCCCCTCCGACATTCACAGCCAAAACGACGTGGCGACCTCACGTGCGCGCACGCCCTGGGGAACCAGGGCAGAAGCACGGGCTTCCCGCGGGGCCCGCGCGGGCTTCGCCGATCGACGGTCCACCGCCGCGGCGGCGTTCCGCTCCTCGCCAGGGAGGATGGCAGGAGAGCCCAGAATTGAATCGATAAGTCGGATCGAGGATCGAAATGAATCGAATCGGAGGGAAGTCGGGAGTCGGAGAAAGTCGAAATGACTCGAATCGAAATGAATCGAAATGAGTCCTGGGATGGGGGGGGGCCGGCGACGATGGCCGAGAGCTACGCGCGAACCTCCGACCGCTTCTACGCGCACGTCTGCAGTGCAGCAGGAGCACGACCACCACAGGCAACCTTCCACGAGAAACCCCAGCCCTGAGACCCCAGGGGCGCTCGTCCTTTGATTTTTGGTGTGGGAGCGTCGCGCTGTCACTCCGATCGTTGACGCGTACGTCTGCAGTACAGCAGGAGCTCGACCACCACAAGCAGCCCCTTCCACGAGAAACCTCAGCCCTGCGGCCCCGGGGCCTCACGCCCTTTGACTTTTGGTGTGGGAGCGTCGCGCTGTCACGCCGATCGTTGACGCGTACGTCTGCAGTACAGCAGGAGCTCGAACACCACAAGCAGCCTCCCACGAGAAACCCCAGCCCTGAGACCCCAGGACGTACGTCCATCGATGTACTATGGCGTGGGAGCGTCGCGCTGTCCCTAGCAGAACCAATGGGAGCCCCAGAGAGACCTAGGGGACCCTGGAGGCAAGCGGGTTCTCTCTTGGCATGGGCCCCCGCTGCAGGCAGAGGTGTTGGCTTCGCTCCTGGCAGCGCCCGACGTCGCGGCTCCTGGGCTCCAGTCCTGCCTTTCGTCACAGAAATCCTTGTCTTCGCCCGTGCTCCAGCACTTTTGAAGGGGCCCTGGGACACACAAATACACACAAAACAAAATCCCCAGATTTTCACATACTTTCTGGGTTTTCGTCCTCCCCCCCACTTCCCATATTTTCCTGGAGTCGGCGATTAATTGTGTCTGTGTGCTTTTTCCCCTCCTGAACTTTTGTGTCTTGTCGGCGGCGAGGCAGAGGCAAATCCGCTCCAAAGCGGGGCTCCTCGGGGCAACTGGCGCAAGGCGAACGGCCGGGCATGCAGAGAAGGAGGGATCACAACGAGGGCGGCCGCGCGGAGGAGGGGGAGGCGGAGAAAACCCTCACGGGGGCGCCTTCCAAGGTACGGATACCGCTGTTCCCAGGACCTCTGCCGGGGTGCGCTCTGACAAGAAATTCGACGCGGATCCAGCGGTGGCGACGAGGGTCCGCCG